AATATTCATGGTTTGCTGAACTTTTAAGCCCATTAGTGAGGCCTACTGCTTAGAAAGTAAGATTCCTTTAAAAATATTACCATTCATTATAATAAGAAGCCTGATTTTTCTACATGGAAAATCTGTTATTAGGTGTAACCACCTTCATCAGTGATCTTAGCTAGATCTTCTGGATGACTTACTGCAGCTTCTACATCAGCACTTTGCTACTTCACCTTGCACTTTTGTTATAGAGATGGCTTCTTCCCTTAAACCTCACGAACCAACCTCTGCTAGTTTCCAGCTCTTCTGCACCTTCCTCATCTCTCTCAGCCTTCACAAAATTGAAGACAGTTGGGGGCGTTACTCTGAATTAGTCTTTAGCTTAAGGGAATGTTGTGTTTGGTTTGATACCTAAACTGCTCAAAACATTCTCCATTTCAGCAATAAGGCTGCTTTGCTGTCTTATTTGTGTGTTCACTGGAGTAGCATTTTTAATTTTCTTCATGAATTTTTCCTTTGCATTCACAGTTTGACTGTTAGGTTCAAGCGGGCTAGCTTTCAGCCTGTCTGGGTTTTTGACATGCCTTCCTCTATAAGCTTGATCATTTCTAGCTTTTAATCTAAAGTAAGAGACATGTCACTCCTCCTGTCACTTGAACACTTAAGAGTCCATTGTAAGGTCAGATTGTAATGGCCAAATTTCAATATTGTTGTGTCTCAGGGAATAGGGAAACCCTAGGGGAAAGAAAGACATGGGGAACAGCCAGTCAGTGGAGCACTAAGAAGACACGGCATTTATCGATTAAATTAGCATCTTACATGGCCATGGTTCGTGGTGCTCCAGAACAGTTATAATAGTTTTGGATTCCTGTAACCAGCCAGGCACTTAATGTGGGTGTGGAGGACAGAGTTCTAAGATGGCCCCTAAGATTCCTGGCCCCTAATGTACACACACACCTCCCAGTTATTCACTCAAATACTCATTTGGGTACTTCCATGAAAAGACTTACAGATGTCATTAAGGTCCCACACCAGCAACTTAAGATGGGAGGTTATTCAGGTAGGCCTGACCTAGCCATATGAACCCTTTGAAAGCAGGGTTTTCTCTAGCTGGTTGGAGAACAGAAGGCAGCAATTGGAAGCATGAGAAAGATTCAGTGTGCTGTTCCTATCTTTACGACGCAGGTGGTCTCTAGGAATGACTCCTGCTCACAGCAAGCACACAGGTCTTCAATCCTCCCTTCAGGCAGGGACTGGATTCTGTGAAAAACCTGAATGAATTTGGAAGCTCGTTCTCCCGTAAAGCCTCCAGATGAGAACTCAACCCAGCTGACACCTGACTGCAGCATTGTGTGACCCAGAGAAGAGGTCCCAGCTATCCTGGGCTGCACTGGTGACCTGCAGAACTGTGGGGTAACAAACATATGCTATTTGAAGATGCTGACTTTTTTGTAAATTTTTTAACAGCATGGATTACTAATGGCGTGAACCTGTGTGGGGAGAGAGGACTCGCCCTTGGGTGAGGTGGACTCTTATGCTTGCAAGCAGTTCCCAGAGAGAATCCCAGAATGGAGGGTGGTGCATTGCTCTGAAGAAGGGGACTGTGCAGAGCATCCCAGTAACTGTGTAAGGTTGAATCATCCTAGGCCCAGTACGTTTTTCCAAAGTGAACACATCTTTGTAACTCAGGGCACAATGTAGGAGATCCTAAAAGCCTCTTGTGTCCTTAGTCATAGTCATCTGATGACAGTCACTGTTTTGATTCTCCTGCCAGCGATTGTTTTTGTCCATTTTTTTCAGCTTTATGTAATAGACTTGAACCATATAAGCTCTTTTGTGCCTGGCTTCTTTTGCTCAATTTTTCTTTTGTGAGATCCACCTGTGATTTCGTGTGTGGTAGATCTTTTTCATCGCTATATATTTCCTTGTGTGGGTGTTCTATGGAAGGATATTTGAGGTGTTATGAACAGTGCTGCTGTGAACACTCTCACTACAGACTTCTGCAGGGTAGACGTGATTTCTTCAACAACATTATTCTCTTAAAAAATAGTCACCTTTTGGGCTGTTTGTTGCCACTGAATCCCATGTAACAGCTCTGGGTTTTAAACCAGCAGATCTCTGATTTTATTTACTGGCTTCCTTGCTGGACTAGTTCCTCCTTTCATTTTTTTGGGCAATCATCTTGAGGTATCAGAGACAGTACTTGAATGGGAAGGCAATACCTACCTATTATCTGATCTTTGTAGCTGGGCCAGCTTCCACCATCTGTCAAGAAACCAATGAGAAGGCTCTTGAGAGACATTTGGTTTTCTTAGTCCTGGGAGATCCGTATTAATAGATCCTCAGACTTCACATTGGTAAAGGGCAGGTATTGGGAAAGAGATTTTCCTTTTCTAGAGCCACCATTCCTTTGATCTCTGCTTTCAAAAAGGTTAATTCTCAGACTTCCTCTCCTTTATGGTACAGCAGGTCCTCAAGTAATGTTATTTTGTTATGACATTGATGAGAAAAATATCAGTTCCTGGCTGGGACCACTATCTGTAGAATGTGCATGGTCTTCCCATGTCTTTGTGAGTTTTCTCTAGGTACTTCAATTTGCTTCCATATCAAAGCTGTGCATGTTAGGTGACATTGGCATATCTACATGGACTCAGTGTGAATGATCGTAGGTGTATGTAAATACACCCTGTGCTGGGATGGAGTCCTGTCCGGGATTGGTTCCCACTGTGTGCCCTGAACTGCTAGGGTAGTCTGTAGATACTCAGGACCCTGAACTGGAATAAGTGGGTAAATAATTATCTTACTTGATTTTATTAATAATTTTCTCTGGAAAAACCTACTAGATAAATTCTAAAAGAGCTGTAACACTGCTAATCTTTCTTAAATGTATGTATAGCTCCCATTTATTTCAGTGTTTAATATTAGAAGTGTTTAGGTCTTTATTAAGAAGTTTGGTGATGTTTTTATAACTAGAAATGTGCCCTAGGAACTTCTCTTATTTATATCCATTTACTATCTGTCATTTCACTTAAAGTTGCTGTTTCCAAAAACCTATATATGATATTGAGGATTTATTGTTCCTTGCTAGATGTACCAAGGAACAGCTAGTGTAGGCCAATGTTGCCACTCTCTAAGCACTTCCCCTAGAGCTACTGTGAGCTTGGTTGGTAGGTAGATGGTTTGCCTTATAGTTTTACCAAATTCTTTACCATGGCCTGCCAGTATTAACTTCCTTGCTGCTCAACCACTAAGCCAGTGCCACATATTTTAAGTTTTTATCATGGTGACACCACTTCAAGGTTGATTGTTGTATCAGGATACAAACTAAACCACAGTAAAGAGTGGTACATGGCTGGATGTGGTGGCTCATGCCTGTAATCCCAGCATTTGGGGAAGGTGAGGTAGGAGGACTGCTTGAGCCCAGGAGTTTGAGACCAGCCTGGGCAACATAGCAAGACCTCATCTCTACAACCCTTCTTGGTTCCCTTCTTTCCTCACTTGTAGTTCCTAACAGTGTCGTCTAGTGCCTTCAAGTTCTGGCATGTACCAGGGCTCAGTCTTCAGAACTCATCCCCACTTATGTCCATTCCTCAGGCGAGAACACTCATGTTAGAATATAAATACCATCTACTGCTGAAGATAAATTTCTCCCTCCAACATGGCATTCTTCCTGACTCCCACATTTGGCTAACTCTTCATCAGATATGTTCACTCAGATGCTCCCAGAAGCTTTTCAAACCTAATGTGTCCAGCCAACTTCACTTCTGCTTTTCGTCCTTAAGTCTGCCCCTCCATAGTTTTCTCCATCATAATGAGAATTCTACTATCTCATTTTTTCAGGCCACAGTGATGCAATAATTCTTTACTCTTTTCCTTTGTTCACTCCCACATCTATCAGCATATCTTCTTTTTTTTTTGTTTGTTTGAGTTGGAGTCTCGCTCTGTTGCCCAGACTGGAGTGCAGTGGCTGCTCCCGGCCACCGCAGCCTCGACCTGCTGGGCTCCGGCGATCCTTCCGCTCAGCTTCCAAGTAGCTGGAACTACAGGCACGCGCTACCATGCCCGGCTGATTTTTGATTTATCGTAGAGATGAGGTCTCACCAAGTTGCCCAGGTGGGTCTCGAACCTGTAGGCTCAGGCAATCCACTCACCTCGGCCTCCCAAAGCGTGAGATTACAGGCTGAGCCACCGAACCTGACCTCAGCAGATCTTCTAAGCTGGACATTCAAAACCACACCCAGTACCTGATGCCATACAATCTTGTGTTGCCACCTCCTTCATCACGTCTTACCATACAAATGCAGTGGCCTCTCACCTTGTCTCCTTACTTCTCTTTTTCCTATATAGCCAGAAAAATGACCCTTTAAAAACATAAATCAGATAAGTCATTTTTCTATTCAAAAACTTAAAAAAGGTTTTCTGTCCTCCAGTAAATCAGGGTCAACTTTCTCACAAGCGTTAACCCAGACTGAACTCCTGCTGCCTTACCTTGTCCCTCTCAACTCCCTTACTTTATGTTTTCCCACACAAATATGAGAGGATGGCAAGGATGCTAGGGTGAGGATAATTTTCATATGAACCCTAAATTGAATGCAACACTGCAGACCATTGGATCTAAGCTGGGTAAGGAGGGGAGAGAGAGGATGTGAAGGGGTGGGGCGACAATGAAGAGGTGGTAGGGTTGATAAATTTATTATTTTTTTTGGGAAATACTTATTTTGACTTTTTTGATGAAGACCAAGCATATCCCCACCCCTCTGCTATTCATCTAGGATTCACTGAGAGTCAGAGGACGCCATTCTGTCCTGGAGTTGGATATTAGAGGTGGGGCTACAAAGAAGCCTTTCCATGTGGGACAGGCTGATTGGGGTGAGACTAGCACTTTGGGTCAGGAGTGTGGGACAGAGGAAACATATTCCTTTCCCACTTCTTGGATATGAGTTTTATCCTTCACCTGATTCTGCCGTTTCTCGTCTGTTAACTAAGGGCAAAGATGAACTTGTTCTCTTTTGTTTCAGATTCTACCATAGGAACTGGTAAGAAGAAGGTGACTCTGAAGCCTGAATTTCTGAGGATGAAAACTCTAATAGGTCAATGTCAGACAAACTCACAGTGATGGAGCCCCTTACCCCCAAGTCTGGGGAAGTCCATGATCCCAGATTAGGGGAGCTATTGGGGAATCCAGAAAAGCAGAACCTGGGGAATTCTCCCTCTCAGGAAGAAGGCCAGGTGACAGTTACTCATTGGAAAATCCAAACAGGAGAGACAGCCCAGGTGTGCAGTAAGTCAGGAAGAAACCCTATTTTGAACTCAAACCTTCTTATACTCCAAAGAGAGCTTATAGAAGGGGAAGCCCATCCTTGTGATATTTGTGGCAAAAACTTCACATTTAATTCAGACCTGGTTAGACATCAGATTTCTCATAATGGAGAGAAAACTTACAAATGTGATCAGTGTGGGAAAGTCTTTGGCCAGAGCTCACACCTTACTGAGCATCAGAGAATTCACACCGGAGAAAGACTGTATGTATGCAATGTGTGTGGGAAAGACTTCATTCACTATGCAAGTCTTATTGAACATCAGCGAGTACATACGGGAGAAAAACCCTTTAAATGTGCTCAGTGTGGGAAAGCGTTTGGTCATAGCTCTGACTTGATTAGACACCAAAGGGTTCATACCAGAGAGAGGCCTTTTGAATGCAAAGAATGCGGAAAAGGTTTCAGTCAGAGCTCCTTACTTATTCGGCATCAGAGAATTCACACGGGAGAAAGGCCCTATGAGTGTAATGAATGTGGGAAATCCTTCATTAGGAGCTCAAGCCTTATTCGACATTATCAGATCCATACAGAAGTGAAACAGTATGAATGCAAAGAATGTGGAAAGGCCTTCCGTCATCGCTCAGATCTTATTGAACACCAGAGAATTCACACCGGAGAGAGACCTTTTGAGTGTAATGAATGTGGGAAAGCGTTTATTCGGAGTTCAAAGCTCATTCAGCATCAGAGAATTCATACTGGAGAAAGACCTTATGTATGTAATGAGTGTGGAAAGCGTTTTAGCCAGACTTCAAACTTTACCCAGCATCAGAGAATTCACACTGGAGAGAAACTCTATGAATGTAACGAATGTGGGAAAGCATTCTTTCTGAGTTCGTACCTTATTCGACACCAGAAAATTCACACTGGAGAGAGGGTGTATGAATGTAAAGAATGTGGGAAAGCTTTTCTCCAGAAAGCCCATCTCACTGAACATCAGAAAATCCACACTGGGGACAGACCCTTTGAATGTAAGGACTGTGGGAAAGCTTTCATTCAGAGCTCCAAGCTGCTTCTACATCAGATCATTCATACTGGAGAAAAGCCCTATGTATGTAGTTATTGTGGAAAAGGCTTTATTCAGAGGTCAAACTTCCTTCAGCACCAGAAAATCCATACTGAAGAGAAGCTCTATGAGTGTAGTCAGTATGAGAAAGATTTTAACTCAACCCAAAACTTTAAAAATAATCAAAGTGTTCATCAAGAGGGACTTCCCTTGAGTAAGGCCCCCATACATTTGGGTGAGAGGTCTGTAGGTCAGGGGGAACACACAGATAACTTATGAAACAGTTATTCTTGAACTCAATGAATGATGTTTAGAAATGAGTGGGATTAGGATTCATGTGGCTTCTAAGATTTGGACAGGTCTGAATTTTGTGAGTCATGGTTGGGGCAGCTTTTGGAGTGGGCTACCACATGTCACTGCAGTACTCCCAGACTTATCCTCTTCCACAGCTATGAACATTGTCCTCAGAAGAGTCATGGGGCTTTATAACTGACTGAGCTGGAGCAGTGGGAACAGGGAGACAGGTGTCAAGACAAGATTTTTACATTTTATTCAGTTAAAATCATCCTTGAGTCAAATCCCTTTTAGAGCAGAACTGTGTATATAATCTTAGTTCTTAGAAGAGTATTACCTAGCAAATTATGATAAAAAAAAATCAAGGTGAAGAAATACAACTTTTTAATGCAAAACCATGAACTGGTTCCCTATTGTCCTTAGAATGAACTCCAAACTTCCTGTCATGCATCCTAAGACCTCTTGCTTCTCAAGCCTCATCTCCCACCACGTAACTCCCTGCTGTACTCCAGCAACACTGTTTAATATTCCACACACACTCCACATTGTTTTCCTACCTCTTGCCTTTCTTTTTGTTTAAAGGGTCTCCTCAGCTAACTCCTACTCATTGTTCAATATTCACCTCAGGCATCATGTCAAGGAACGTTTCCCTCAGGCTTAGCTGGGTAGCATTCTTCCATGCTTCTGTTGCTCAGTGCTCACCTCTATTACTGCACGCTTTGATATGTCACAATTGTGACTTTATATACTATCTCCTTCATTATACTATAAGTCCTCTGAGGACAATGATCATACCTGGTTGATTTATGTGTCCCGAGTGTCTAGCACGAGTCAATAAAAAACACATCCCAAATGTATGCATAACTAGCAGCTCTCTTTGTCATTTCTATGCTGCTATTTTTACAATTTGAGGATGCTTTTTCTTGTTTGTTTTTATCAGTATAACTCTATTAGAATTATCTTCTCATCCGTGTTAGTGTCTTTTCCTAATTAATGAATTCGACAGGTGATAGCCTGTGTGCAATCAGTGTTCTCCCACTTACGGCCTTTACAGCCTATGCAGATCTGACAACTTGATTTAAGGGTATTATCTTCACTTAGTTGTCTGTCTTTGTAATTCACTCAAGGGGTACAGTCCCCTTGAGTATGCACTACATACCTCTTCTGCTTTAACGGTTCCAAGACTGAACTTAACTCTTGTCATTTTCCATGCTGTTTGGCTCATAATGTCATTTATTTGAAAATAACTGATATCTACAACGAGGAACCCTGAAACAGGATTACTTTTTGGAGGGTGGGCCCCTTGTAGTACAGACTTCTCCCACTAGGCAAATGTTCTAGGAACACATTGGCAGCAGCGTACCAGCTGGTGTTGTGATAGGTTGCATTTGGCTTCAGCGATTTTTGGAGAGTCATCGTGTTTTCCCATTTCATGATGGGTGATTTACAAGCACACCTGCCCACCTCATGCTGAGCTTTTAGCAGTTTTTGGCCAAAACCAACATGAACCCTGTGCCCCACCTTCCCTATTCACTTAATCTCATCTCAAGTGACTTTTTTGTTGCTGCTTCCTTGGATGAAAAAATTTCTCAAAGGGAAACATCTTGCCAGTGTGGAAGAGGTAAAACAAAAAATGGCAGAAGCACTAAAAGGCGTCAAAATCGGCGAGTTCAAAAGCTGTTGTGAGCAGTGGAAAAAGCATCTTGTAGGTGTATTGCATCAGAGAGTACTTTGAAATTTAAACATATCAGAATAAATACACAGTGTTTTATAAATAAATTTCAGTTTTGGGGGTCTGCCCTTATAAGGAATAGTCCTAAATATTGGAATGACAGATAAGTAAGATGTCCATCCTGAAGTCATTTAAAGCAGGAGTGCCCAACCCCGGAATCGGGTTGCACAGCAAGAGGTGAGTGGTGGGTGAGAACAAAGCTTCCTATTGCTTACATTACCACCTGAGCTCCACCTGCCAGATCAGTGGCAGCATTAGATTCTCATGAGAGGAAAAACCCTGTTGTGAACTGCACATGCAAGGGATCTAGAAATAAAGTGCATGATAAGTGTAATCGCTTAAGTCATCCCAAAACCATACCCTGCCCTGCCCTGCCCCCCCATTAGTGGAAAAGGTGTCTTTCACAAAACTGGTTTCTGATGCCAAAGGGGCTGGGGGCCACTGATTTAAAGTGTGAGAAAGAGTACAGTTTGTCAATTGTGTGCTCTCCATTGTGTAAGCACAAGTGAGAGTGATGTGGCACAAAATCTAGGAAGGCTTCACAGAAAGGGTGACATTTCAGTTGGGATAGAAGGATCAGTAGGTATTTTTCAGCTAAAATAATCTCAGAGGGAATCTGCAGAAACAGGAGGCAGATTGATTGCTCTTGGTAGGGCTATTTAAAAGCAGGCAAGCTTAACATAGTGGGTAACCATCTTCCACAACTGTTAGTCTTTGCCTCTGAATTTCTTTCATCTTAACATGAACCCAGACAACCAGTTTTGAAATGATGTAAAACATATTTTTGCTCATGAGTCCGTATTTTGAATTCTTAACAAATATCACCAAGCCTAAAACCCTTGAGGAGCATTATTCAATAAGGACATATAGTACTCCATCTTCTAGAAAACTCACCATTACTAGAGGTGTTTCAAATGGCACAGATTTATCAGACCATTTAAATCAACCTTATTGAAGTTCAATTTTCATACAATAAAACACTTAAGTGTACAGAGTTTTAAAAAGTCTGTATACCTATACAACCATCACTACCATAGTTAACAATAAAACTATCCAAAAAAGTGTCCATTCCAGCCCCAGGTAACCCTTTCTATCAATGTAGGCTAGTTTTGTTCTAGAACTTCATATAAATGGATTCATTTAGTGTGTGTTCTCTTGTGTCTTGACTTATTTCACTTTGGCATGTTTTGAGACTCAACCATGTTTCATGTTTCGGTAGTTCTTGCTGAGTCGTGTTCCATTGTATGGATAAACCATCTTTTGTTCATCCACTGGTTGATGGAAATTTGGGTTTCTGGTTTTGCCTCTTAAGAATAAAATGCTATGAACATTTGTGTAAAAGCATTTACTTGCCCATGTGTTTTTATTTCTCTTGGGTAAATACCTAGGACTTCCATTGCTGGGTTTTAGGGTGTCTTAGTCTGTTCAGGCTGCTGTTACAAAATACCATAAGCTGGGCGGCTTACAAACAAATTTTTCATTGTGGAGGCTGTGAAGTCCACAATGAAAGTGCTGATAGATTAGGTGTCTAGTGAGGGCTGGCTTCCTCTGTAAATAGATGTCTTCTCACTGTAACCTCAAGTGGTAGAAGGGGACTAGGAACCTTTCGTGGACTTTTTTGTTTGTTTGTTTGTTTTTTTGAGTTGGAGTCTCACTCTGTCGCCCAGACTGGAGTGCAGTGGCCGCTCCCGGCCACCGCAGCCTCGACCCACTGGACTCCGGCGATCCTTCCGCCTCAGCCTTCCAAGTAGCCGGAATTACAGGCATGCGCTACCACGCCCAGCTGATTTTTTGATTTATTGTAGAGATGAGGTCTCGCTGCCCAGGCGGGTCTCAAACCCGCGGGGGTTCAGGCAGTCCACTCACCTCAGCCTCCCAAAGGCGCGGGATTACAGGCTGAGCCACCGAGCCCGGCTCGTGGACTTCTTTTATAAGGGCACAAGGGCTTATAATTCATGAGGGCTCCACCCTTGAGATCTAACGACCTCCCAAAGGCCCCATCTCATAACCCTCCCCTTGGAGGGTAGGATTCAAACATGAATTTGGGGGGGACATACACATTAAGTCCATTGTGGTTAACATGTTTTTTAACTTCATAAATTGTCACACAGTTCTCTATAGTGGTTGTATCATTTTAACACCCTTACCACAGTATGAGACTTCAGTTGTTCCACATCTTTGCTTGGAATTGTCAGTCTTTTAACATTTAATCCATTCTAGTTTCCTTATGTTTTGTATTTGTATTTGCCTACTGAATGATGTTCAACATCTATGATTTCACATGCTTATTCCTGTTCTGTGTCTTTGTGACGTGTCTTCACATCTTTTGCCCGTTTTTAAGTTGGGTTGTCTTTATTATTGATGTGTAAAAGTTCTTTCCATATTCTAGATGAAAGTCTCCAAATATATATTATGAATATTTTTAGTATTTGGTTAACCTTTTCATTTTCTTGTGTCTTGAATATCATATTTTCTTGTTAAGTCCAATTTATCAAAAAAATTAATAATGATTTTTGAGTTCTAAGAAATGCTTACTCAAAGGACATGATTTTTTTCCTAAGTTTTTATTTTCTGGAATGTTTATAGTTTTAGCTTTTACATTTAGGTCTTATGATCCATTTTGAGTTCATTTTTGTGTACAAGGTGAGATAAGGATCAGGATTCATTTTTTAATCTGTCTGGACAGCTGCTTGTTTTTGGTATCATTTGTTGAAAGACTCTACTTCCTCATTGACTAAACCTCCACAGTTTTATAAAACTTACGTGATCGTATATGAGTAGTCTGTTCTGGACTTAGTTATTTTCCTCTCATGTATGTCTATCTTTACCCCAATGTGACACTATCTTGATTACAGTAGTTTTATAGTAAGTGTTGAACTCAGGTATTGGAAGTGCTTCAATTTTGTTCTTTTCCAATTTTTTATTTTATTTTTACTATTCTAGGTCCTTTGCATTTTCATATACACTTTAGATTTAACTTAACCAATTTCTACAAAAAGATACCTCCTGGTATCTATAGATCAATTTAGGGAGACATTTTAATAATTCTAAGTTTTCCAATTCTTGAATGTGGTGCACCACTCTGTTTATGTCTACTCTTATATCTCTCAGTGTACAGGTCTCACACGTATTCTGTTAAATTTATGTATTTCATATTTCTGCATGCTATCGCAAATGGTAAGGTTTTAAAAAAGCTATTTTGCAATTGTTATTGCCAGTATATAGAAATGCATTTGACTTCTGTACATTGATCTTGTATTGGGCAACCTAGATCAATTCAATTATTAGTCCCAGTAGCTTTTTTCTAATTTTTTTAGCTTTTTCTATGTAGATAATCATGTTATCTATCAATAAAGAATTTTACTTCTTTTGCAACTTATATTGACTTTGTTCCTTTTTCTTGCCTTTTTTCATAGACTAGGGCATCTTGTACAGTTTTCATTAGAAGTGATGAGAGTGTATCCTTGTTTTGGTATCAAGGTAATGTTGCTCCCAAAGAGTTGTGGATTATTTTGTCCTCATCTATTTTCTGAAATTGTGTAATAATTATATTATTTCTTATATATGTTTGATAGATTTCAGCAGTAAAACCCTGGGGATTTCATTCTGGGAAGATTTTTTAAATGCAAAATTTCATTTCTTTAATAGATATATTTGGAGTTTTCTTGTGCCAAGTTTGGTAATTTTTATCTCTCAAAAAATTATTCATTTCATCTGAGATAATGAGTTATTGACAAAGTTGTTCAAAACATGCCATTATATTTTAATGCCTTCTATTTTAGATTCAATATTAATAATATTTAAAATAATGTCCTCTCTCTGGTGTAATTTGTGACTTCTCTGGCTTCCTGATCAGTTTAGCTGGGCAT